GACAGTAGTATGAATGTGCTGAAAGAGAGCTTCAGATAGACCCACGCTGAGTTAACAATAGCTTCACCCTGTATGCTTTGAAACAGCCTTGCAGTAATGATGTTTCTGTTGTTGCATTTGCTTATTTTAAAAAAGTTGCAATTTTACATAGGAAATAGTTTAAATATGATCTACTGTTTCCTAAGTTCTTAATTAACTTCTTGTACCAGGTAGAAAAACCCTAATTACTGCAACTGAAAACCACTCCAGCAGTGCTATGTAGACCTGTCAGACTAAGAAAGATTGTACCAGCAACTCCCGGAGCCCTTCTTAGGAGTGCTTTAAAAGATTGGCTCTGCATGCACATGTGTTCTTACTTCCCGCAATCAGGAGACAGGTCTTGCATTAATTAAATACTACTCCCAATGATGATAAACAATGATGAGAAACATCTACACAAAGATGAGAAACCAATCTTTGTGTAGAAATCCAGTTTTCTAGGTGTATCCAGTGGAGGATCTCATCTCATGTGAGTTGTAACCAAGTTCAGATGCAACAAGAGGTAAAATAAAGAAGGGAAGTGAAGGCTGTTCCGTGAGTTGTAATACAGTCAGCATGCTCTTTCATGGTATAGTTTAGCAATTTAAAAATCCCCATTATGGGAGAAATCGATACACTCTTGACTTGTGGTTTTCAGTATAATTTAGAAGGTGGTATGGGAGAGGAAGTAGTGCCAGTCTTATCTAATGCTTGTTTTGTTCTGACCTTCTGTTTTGTTTCTGAGCATTTATATTGTTTCTACAGTAAACTGCCTTGGACATTTCTGAATAAAGCACACTTTAAGCAGTTCAATTTATATTTCCTTACGTATCATTTAGGATAACATGGAAGTGACTTTTTAGAAGATCTGTAAGTGTATAGCCAGGCAGTAAAGTAGAAAGAAGCATCTTAGTATCTGTAATAATTTTAGTTTGCTTATAAATGATTGTTTATTTTAGAAATATAATATGAAATCTATTTTAAACATTTCTGAAAAATATTGAGAGTTCTTAAGTATGGACTACATGTAGCTGAGGGGGAAATAATTTTAGCAGTGTTCTAAAAGGTTGTCTGAAGGATCTGCCTGTTAAGATATAGCTGAAGTATAGCATTGTATTTTGATAATACAAATCACATTTTTGTTTTAAAATACTTTTGTTTAGTCACAGATACTTAATAAACTGTGGTTTTAACAGATTTGATATGAAATACTTCCAAATCTGTGTTGGGAATACATTATGCCACTATGTTTTTGCCCAAAAAGATTTCAAATGAATGTTAGTATTTCAGTTCAGAATATTAGTCAAGTCATTCAAAAATTATACAAGAAACTTCCTGTAAAACATTTAACTTCTCAGTGTAAATGTGATTAATTTGAACTTAATTAAGATATTTCTACAGTTGTGGATATTCAGGATGAGCATTCAAATTAGGACTTCAGCAGTATTGGTGTTGCTGTTATGCCCACTTGCAGAGTAAACTCTTAAGACTTGTGGCAACTTTATACTTTTGAGTTAATAAATAAACTAAGTAGATAACCAGAAATTGTTGGTGCACTGCAGTGTTTCTTTACAGAGGTTTGTGGAGGTGTCCACCGAACCAGTCAGAAAGTCTGAGTAAGGATAGTGTGAAAGTTCTGAAAATAGTAGTCAAAGCTGTTATCGTTGATATTTTGTACTTATGTTTAAAAAGTGAAGCTACTGCCCAGAATAAAAAGTGTATCTTATAACTGGATCAAAAGAAAAAAGTGAAGGGGGCTGCTTTTTTGAAAAAGAAAAAGAAGCCAAAACATCAGTTTTGTTAACTTCTGTATAATTTCTATAATAACAGTGAAATCTGGATTGCCACAGTTTATTTGGTGTGCTGGTGAATGATCAGTGAACAGATGTCTTGAATAAAACTGGGAAGAATCAAACAATTTTATAAGTCTTTGCTCCAAATGAGTGTTACTTTTGGTGAAGTATGATAAATCTGGGATTTCATAATACAAAAATAATCTTTCCATTCTGGAGTTTCTGATATGTGAAATTTGTTATTTCTTTAAGCTACTGAAGTCTCCCTAAAGTTAATCAAGAACTATTGTTACATCCTACTCCAAGATTTTTCTTTTAAGTTTGAAGATAGTTAATAGAGATGTTAATAAGAAGCAAAAGGAAAACCTTTCTTTTTTTTTTTTTTTTTAAAATTTAGCTAGTTTTTTTTTTTTTTTAAAAAAAAACACAATAAAGCAGATCTGTGCTGCAGGTGCAGCATTGATCCACCAGCTCAATACTGCGCAAATAACAATTCGGTAGGTGTGAAAAGCAACCGCTGTTAGAGCGGCAAGGTGCGGTGCTCATAATGTAACTGGTTAAATGTTCTTCAGTCAAAATGAAAATGGCCTGCAAGCTGTTGCTACGGAAATAGGTGCCTGTGGTTAGTGTTGAATGCAGAGAGGTTTGTCTGTCTTGCAGATCAGAAAATGGCTCAAAGTACTTAGTCTGCTATCGCTTCCGCAAACGTGCTGCTGCTCAGCAGACTGGTCTCTGTGCCTCCGAGGAGCTTCAGTTACAAAGAGAGAGAGAGAGAGAGAATCTTTTTTTTTGGTTTTTACTCCCCCTCTCCCTTACATTTTGATGTAAAGTATTTCTGTCACTTGTTATCTTTGTTTGTAGGTGTCTGTGTATGATAAGAAGCACACTGTCAGGACCTGATCCCGAGAAGACTTGCGAGGGAGCATCTTGATCCCTTTGCAACTAAAGTGAATTTTGCTGAAACCAGGACAAATTGTTTATTGAGGGCTCTGACAAAAGTTATGTTTTTAGACACATCTTTAAAAAATAAAATAACTTTTTAAAAATCAGTGAGACTTCGCGAATTTGGTATAGTCCTTAAATTATTTCTCTAAAAGCTAACTAGGTACATTGCAAGTACAAATTGTTACAATTACACACCTTCATAAACGTTGGAAACAACAATTCTAGGTCCTTTAACTCCTCTTCTAAAATCTCTGAGGAGTGTTGTTTCTGGGTTGATTTTTTAAAAACTGTCATAGTAGATTTTTCTAAAAGGCATTATGTAATTTCTGGGACACCCTAACTATTTGGGCATCCTACTCATTTTCCCAACTGAATACCAGTAAACTGCTGCCCAGTATTGCTCTCCAGACAGCACTGGTTGGTTTCAAAGGAACATGAGGCATCTCTGCTGATCCTTTACACTGGGACTCATCCTTTATATTAGATAAATAATAAGGAGAAAGTAACAAAGCAGCTTATTTGGGCATTCCTGATTGAACACGTAACAGGTTAAACAAAGTCTTATTTTTATCTGATTTACACATGCACAAACACAGCAGATTTGTATCTGCCTTTTTAGATGAACTCTGAGAGATGTCTTATTGTTTTTTCCTCTAATCTAGCTCCAGAGCTCCCAGAAGACTGTCAAGATCTTGACCTTTTTCTTAAGAATCATCTTCAGTTTCCAACTAATTTTTATAAATACTGATGCCTGTTGGGCTTCACTAGGTGGAGCTACCTCCTGGCCAAAAGGTAGTGGGACTTGATCACAACTGTCCTAGGGCTTAGGTATGAACTGGACATTTAACCCACTGTGACAGAATGGAGTGCCTATTTTGAGTGTTGATTATTGTTTGTATATCCTAGGAAAAAACTAACATAAAATTACTATAGGTTTATTTGATTCTTTTTGCTCTGATTTTGTGCCAGATTATTTGGCAGTTTCACTTGCCTTTTGGTTTCCAAAGTGGGTCTCTAGTGAGAGAGATGTGTGAGAGAGTGAGTGCTTTGGGGTGAACAGCAAGGTAAATGTTCATACCTTCCCTTCCCAGCACAACTATTTAACTTGTATCAGGTTTCCCACTGACATCTTAATTCCAATTTCCTGCTCTGGGCCTCTCCTCCTCTGGGTCATTGTTTCAACCCTGCTGTATAACCATTTACTTCTGTTGGTTCCTGTCCCTGGTGAGCGTGTACTGGAGCCCAGCAATGACTAGTGAGCACCCATGCCTCCTACTGGTGCCTGATTCTTTGCTGAGGTATTGAGGTTTTTTGGCATCTTGTAACATTTAAATAGTTATTCTCATGATGCTTGTGAAGATGATAAAGTAGGAAGAAAGGAAAACATAGCCAAGAGCTGTTATATATGATATGAATCCCCCTACTAGAGAGCTGGTGTGCTAAGTTCCAAGTATGATAACCTGACCATGTCTTCTGATCATCTGCCTACGTGGAAATACAATTTTGCGATCATGACACCTTAGGAATGGGAATGTGCCTTTCTGCCCTTCTCATGCTCCAAGACAAGCAAACCTCGTGGGCAGAATATCTTAATTTCCATACTAACAGTAGATATGTCTTTATCCAGAGCTGCAAGGTGCAGGGAGGGAATGGATTTGGGTTTTTTAAAACTGGTTTTCCTGCCATATTGTCATATTCACTGATCTGTGATCCAAAATCCCAAATAATATTTTATACTGTTTTGAATTATACCTTTTTTTATTCAAATTTTCCATCTTGGGGTGTTTTTTTTTTACTCCCCCCTTAATTGCTAGTTGCTAATATTTGATCTAGTGTGTAATAAAACTTACTGAAAAACTTGGGGCTTTCATTATCAAGAATGCTGTACAAGTTAGTAAAACATTCTTCTATTTTTTAGCAGAGTATCCTTTGCTGTCACACAGGTCTTTCTTGAAAAGCATTGGGATCAGCATAAAGGTGATACTTCTCATCAGTCTTCAGCTGCCTTCTCAGACATTTCCATCTATCATTAAATATTTCAATCAAGTTACATTCGTACTGCAGCTTGCCATAGTATAGTTATGTACTCTTTCTTCTCTTGATTGTTTGGGTAAAAGGTTCATAATATGTGGAGACATATATTGATGTGGAGAGTTTTTCTTCCTTGAACTATGAGGGGAAAAAATAAAAGAATTGTTAATGCTTAAGTGGTTCTTGGAGTAAAGGTTCACTGTCTTGTTGCAGGTTGGTGCATGTGATATGTCAAAAGATTCAGTGTCAAGGATCATACTTGAATGGGCTACACTCACTCTACAGCAGGAATTTCAAAATGATCGAACAGACCACAGCAGAATGGAGAAATACAACTTTTGCTGATGAATCCTCTGGCCTGTAATGGTAAGCAAACTACAAGCATGTGTGTTCTGTCAGTAGTCTCAGTAAGATTTAGGGCCATAAAACCCCAGAGTGATCGGTTATGCAGAGCTCAGCATTACAGTCCAGGTAAAAAGTGGTTTCTCAATGGCTGCGCACAGGCCTGGGGGTTGGTTAGATACTGATCAGTGATAACCTTCACTAGGGTAGTAGCTGCATACTTGCTATTCTGAAAAGTTCTTCTGTGGACTTCATGTTGCTCTGTGCAGTAACTGCATAGCTTTTTAGAAAAGTGATTTTTGTAATATCCTGAAGTTTTGCTATTAACTAGTTCTGTTTTAATACTACTTAGCTGGATTTAGTATCAGCAAATCCAAAGGATAAAACTACTTAAGGAGAATTTAATTTGAAAGTGTATCTTCATTTTGGCTGTTGCCAGGTGAGATACCCATGTTTCCCTTGGTGAGTGAGTGCTTTGCATGGTGCAGATTTCCAGTAGCCTGTTGGAGTTGGGAACAGTAGGGCTGGATGTCAAGCAAAGCTTTGAAAATGGTAAGATGAAAGATAACATGAAATGAGAAGAATGATTGTGCCTAGATCTGTGTTCAGACATTCTGTTATCTTAGTAGACTATCAAAACTTAGCGTGGAAAAAAAATAAATCCAGTGAGGCATGTTGGTTGTCTGTGGAAATTTCTCACTGCTTCTGCATGGCTTGGCTCTTTCCATTGATCCAAGAGAGCTTGCCCAGGCACTCATGAATGTTTGGTTCATGTGGCATCGTCTGGATCAGTAAAAAACATATATACAACTCCTAGCAATTTTGAAGTGTGTGTTGTTATCAAGTGGGACTGAAAACAGAAGATTTCAGAGGTTTGCAAGCCATTATTGTTGTTTTATTTCCCAATGGGTCCACAAATGACCTAAATGGTCCTAAACCAAATGTTACATTTTGGAAAACTTTTTTGAAAGAATTGTGTGTGTGTGACTGCTGTTGTGTCCTGAGGTGGGGTATGACTGTAGAAACAATGCTTCTATTAGAAGCATAGATATGTCTTCTTGGTGGTGTTTTTAATACCTAACCTCCAAGGGAGGGAACTTCCTTATTGCAAGTGTTAGTCTGAGGTTTTTTGGCTGTGAAGTACGGATGTGGTGGTGTAACAAATGTTACATGGTTGATATGTGAAGAAGTTTGGGAAACATTCAAATTACCCTGTAATAACTAGTACATAGAAATAAAATTTTTAATACATGTACTTGATTGAACTTACTCTTGAAGTACTAGTTAAGTAAAGGGGAAATTGGATTTAATCTGTCCCCTTCCTCCTGGTTTCATAAATAATATGAAGTCTTTGTTTTCCTAAACTGAAAGGGCATTTTTTAACTTCACAAAAATATTTGTACTGTAATATCATCCTGCAGTACACTGCTCCAGGTACTGATGCATAATCATGTTCTTTCCATTGTCCATCTCTTGGCCTTGGGCTGAGGTTTACTTCCAAAGTGAGGTTGCCAGTGGGTCTGTTTGCTTTGGGAGGAATACTAATCTGGAGAATGATACAGATGATACTGTTGAGTAAGCAGAAATTCAGATAGAAACGAGCATTTTGGCCTTTGGCAATAGACACAAGTGATGTTATTCTTGACATTATGGTTTACTCTTGCATTTGGTTATGATGTAAGATTGCTTTAAAAAAAATACTTGGTCTGTAATAGAACTCTGTACTGATAGAAGAGTATGGTAGGAATATAGTGCTGATTTATGCTTTGAGCAACCTTAAAGGTCTGTTACCTACTATTCAGTGACACATTCTTAATGCACATGCCAATGTTAGTTCATCTGAAAAATTAGAGACTGGGGGGGGGGGGGGAAAGCCCAGAAAAAAATCTATAACCTCACAAACAATAAGTTGACATTGGTATGTTAGTTGAATTTCAGCTGCCTGTATGTATTTCTTCTCACTTTAGAAGTGTGGAAGTATTGTAGATAGGAGAGAGAGGTTTTTATCTTTGAGCCTCCCTCTCTGCTTTACTGCTGTTAGTTGGACTGAACCTAAATAGCAAGTGATTTCTTATCTTGCTCACAGGTTTTATCTGCTTCCCGCCCATAGTGTGGGCCTTATCCCTTGCCATATTGTGATTGCACCTGCTCTGTGCAAATAGACTATTTACCCTAGAGGTAGGACGGATGCATTTCTATGTTGACCTGTAACACTCTCCCTAAATAATTGAGACATGGAAAAAATAAGAGTAATGTGTGATGCCCATTACACTCTGGTTCACAGTGATCTTTTTTTGATTTTTTTTTCCTTTCTTTTCTTTTCTTTTTGAACATCTGTTGGCTTATCTAGCCAGAGTTAGAAGAGGCAAGTTATATCCTTGTACTCTGGCTCTGTCACACCAGCAGTCTGTGATGGTGATTGCTTTAGTGAGCTAGAAAAGCTGAGGCATATTTAAAATATTGATATACAAATGAGAGAGATTTCATTCTAGTTATAATTAAGTAATTATATTGAACTTTGGTAGTCAGCCTGAGAACTTTTTCACTTTATGCTTATCATTCTGTATCCTAAATTATAATGTCTGAAAAAAACTCAACAGTTTAAACATAACTTTCCTGAAGTGTTTTTTTTCTTAGTGCTGATTTGAATATAGTGTTTACTTAGTGTAATACATTTCTTTTTTATTTAAAAAAAATCTTCTGAAAATATCAGGGATTATAATTTCTGTAAAATTCAGGGGTATTCTAGCAGAAATTATTGTGGTTTACACACATACACACACACTTCATCCCTATTCCTATCTCAACTGAAACCTTTATTTTTCTCCATAGTGTTCAAGTTAAATATTCTGTGTGTCGGGGGCGGTTTCCTGCACTTTATAGAGTCAAATATTGTGGGATTTATTTCTATAAACAACTGCACCAGCATTCTGGTTTTGATATAATTAAATTGAAATTAGACAATGAAAAGCTGTCCTGACTTCTGAGGCTGCTGTGTTCAAAGACATGAATTTTAAACAGGTCACTGAAAACTTAGTGTAAGTGGAATATTGACTTTTGTAGTAAGTTCAATTTTAAGCCAGCTAAAATCAGAAAATCTATCTGTAAAATGTGACAGGGAGTCTGAGAATCATGAAATAATCACACACCTTGGACTTCAAAAGATGCAAAGCACAGCTCAATTTCCTTCTGGCGTGATATATCTTTTTACACCCTGGAGTTTGCTGCTTATAAAAATCAGTATTATAAAAAGGTCTCCCCCCCCAACCCCCCCATCCCTGCTGAGCCAGACCCAGCTGTTAATTATAAGGCTTAATAGATTTGTTGGTTGAACCATCATGTGTTTGCACAATAAACTACCTTAGAACAGTAGTAAACCCTCCCATGTAATTCAGGTGCATCAATCTGGTTATAGGGATTCTTTTTTCTTTTTTTACTAATGTAGTTTGTGAGCTAGTTTTAAATTATACATCTTGAGTTTCCTGAGCTATCTTCTGTTACCATTTCTCTGTCCTACCTGGATCAGTAGCATAGAGATTTCTTTCTGTCACTGTAATCTCTTTCCTCTTTCTTAGGCTGTGGACCTGTGTGGAGTGATGAGTCGGTTTAACAACTCACTGCTGTCCTTGCTTTCCTATTTGTGGTTTGCCTTTCCTTTCCAAACACCGGGCCAGCTCCAGACCTTATCTATACCTCTCGCTAGCTGTTGCACTCCACCAGCCTGATGGAGAAATGACCTGACAAAACCAGCTTTCTGTTGTATTTGGTGAATAGGCTCCAAAGAGAGCCCGGTGGGTGCAGGAGCTGGGTGCCTGGGCGGGGGACCGGAGCAGCAGGCACAGGATGGGGGGCCGTGTGGGTGAGACCTTCTCCTTTGGGTGCTCTTGGCTGGCTCTTGGGCTCAGGTGTTCATGAAACCACTGCCTCTGCTACTTCACATCTTCCATTTCTATTAGTGACTACAAAACTGCTCTCAAATTACACAACTTGTTATTCCTATTTTAAAGGCTATTGTAGAACAAATGCCACGGAAGAGAGAGGAAGCAATGTACCAAAATAAGAATGTGAATTTAAAAGTTCAGTTTCAACACTTTCTTTGCAGTGTATTTATTTAGTATTATCACTGCTGTGGTTCTGTGTTCAAGGGCACAGCCTAGGTGATGTAGTGTCACGTTTTACCCTTATTTTCTGACATGTGGTGGGATTTCTTCTGCCTCCTGATTTTTTTCAAAATGAGAGACTACTTTTTTGTATTGATTTGGCTTCTTTATGTAAATATAGTTTTGAATGATTATGTGTTGAAGTAGGTATGCACAGTTTTTTTAAGAAAATAGAAGGTAGAGATAAGTAAGATTTTTCTTATCTGAAGAGCAGAAAGAGCTCTTCAGAAATTAAACATAATTAAGGAAGGTGACATTTCACATGAAAACCTTCAAAATTTATCTAAAAAAAAGTTTACTTTTGTAAAGAAACTTAGCTGTGCACATAGTATTTACCACTGCTAGCAGATGGATTATTAAAAACACATCTGTTCTCTATTTAATATTTTTGTATGAATAGAAAAGGCTAGGGTGACTGCAGGCTAGCATTTGAAAACAAAGTCTAAAAGGAAGAAGTGTTGTCTTTAACATGAGTGGTATTTCCTGTGGTGTACGTTTGGATTGCTAACGTTCATTTCCGAGACTGAATTAGTTGCGGAGTCCACTAGACTGGAGATTATTTTTGCCTGAGATTCATAATTCATCTACTAATCTCCTTCAGTTATTCTACTGAATGTTTATAGATTCACGATTACATTTTGATATCTGCTAATGGGTAATTACAGTCAACAATCATTCCTGTCATTGACATTGCTAAAGTAATTTCAGAAACACTGATGTCATTTTTGGGGAAGGAAAGATGGAATGGAAATCAAAACTTTACCCTCTGTCGTTAGTGCTGTATTAAAGATGGAAAAACTGGTTCTGCTTGCTTTTGTGCAGCAGTTGTTGTGAGGAATAAGGCAATGTGTATCACTTCACTTG